CCATAGCGACTTGGTCTTGAATTGATTTTTTTCGAGCCGCTGCATCACATCGCGGTGTGAATGTGGTTGGTGCTCTTTCGTGTCCTCCGATCGTTCGCATTCCGTATCTACGTACTACTAACGGTGGTGGCGTGATTTCTCGTCGCTGAACACGTTTATTAAATTGTACTCGTTGAGCGTGAATTCTGTCACGTGCTTCAAATGCGGCTTGTCGCTGCGGTCTCTGGTTTTGCGTTTGAACAGGGTCTGGTTCTTGGAATAGTAAATCTAAATTAAGTGTATCATCATCATCATTCCGTTCGTTTTGTACGTGAGTATTATGCACATCATCGTTGTTCTGCTGTTCTTCAGGGTCTGGAAATTGAATATCACCTTGTGGTTCTTCATTATCGTTTTGATCGTTTACTTCATCTGCTGGTTCTTCTTGTATCTCAGCAGGTGGTGGGGCCACGATGGGTATCGGTGGCGCTATCATCGGCATTGGTGCAGGAATTGCTGGTGGTACGGGTGGTGCTACAGGGGCTGCTGCTCCTGGTGCTACTGCTAGTGGTACCGATAATTGGATTGTTGCTGGCTGCTGAGTTTGAGTGTTTATTTCGGAAGGTTGAATATCTTCTAAGAGCTGAGGTAATTGTCCGTCGAACAGTTCTGGTTCTCCTCGGTACTGTCCTAATGAAGGATCTGTCATAAATGTTGTTGGATCAATGCTTTCTAGGTCTTCTGGTTCTTGTTGAGGCACAACTGGCTTCAATCGAATCCGATGAACACATTGCGTATATAGCGTTCCTATTTTTCGGATGAGATAATTTGAGTTGGTCAGAACCTTTTCTACTCTATAGAGAGGTATCCACACTTGTTTTGATTGTTTTCCGAAATCTGATTGTGTTGTTAATTTAGGATTGAGAAGAAAGCAGTATGAATGAAGCTGGAGCGGTTGTGCTAATGCTTTCTGATCGTAATATCCGCGATATCGTTGATATGAGTCAATGATATTCTGTTTAGTTTCTTTAAATTTCTCTAACATTGCGTCTTGCATTGAGGTTACAAAATCTGATTCAGCAGTTATTGATTCGAGTGCTGTGGTTGAAAAACGAAGGTCAAGTGGTTTGGTTGGCTCTCGTCCATGAAAAATTGCGCTAGGGCTACATCCTATTGATGAATAGTACGATGTATTATGAATAAACGTTGCTAACGGGACGTACTTGTGCCAATCAGACCATTCTTCGTTTGTATTCAGCTTCAAGATTCGTTTGAGTGCTGCGTGAGATCGTTCAACGAGTCCGATCGTCTGTGGGTGTTTGAGTGTTGCATGACTGATTTGTATCTCCAATAGCGATGTAAGCTCATGCATTAGTTTCGATGTAAATGCACTTCCTAGATCTGACAAGATTCGTTTCGGGACGTAGCTATGGGTAAAAAAAATTTTCGTCAGTTCCCTCGCAATTGTATCCGCTGACACATTTGTCAGTGGTATTGCAAACAGGTATTTAGAAAAGACATCAATTCCCGTAAGGACAAATTTATAAACTGTGGATCGAAATGGTCCTACGATGTCAATTTGCATCATGTCGCCTGGGAACGATTGTAATGATGAAACTGGTTGTAATGGAGGGGTTTGGTATCTGCTGGAGTTTTTCTTCAGTTGGAGACAAGTCAGGCAATTCTTGATGATATGCAGAAGAAACTCTGTGAATCCTGGAAAGTAGAATCTCTTCCTGAATTCCTCTATGGTTCTGCCCATTCCGAGATGTCCTCCACTCGGTGAGTTATGTAGACGGTACACGACTTCCTGCCACAGATGTTTGGGTAGGCAGTATTGATGGTATTTTACTTTGCCTGTGTCATCGAAGAATTTTCGGTAAAGAATTTGGTCTTTCAGTTCAAGTCGATTAAACTGCTTTGCGTATTTTTTCCGTTTGCTGTTCTCGTATTTCAAATCTGGGATTTCGTTAAGAAGTATCCACTTTATGACTTCCTCAATGTCGGGATCCTTGCTTTGTTCCTCCTTGAAATTCAGTGGTTCATTCCTGTTTTGTATATCCGAAAAAACATCTGCTGGATCGGGGTATTCGATTGCTGATATTGCTGGTTTCATTAGTCGTACAAGCGTTTGTGCTTCTAGTTCATCCGAGTTTTGTGTTATGGCTTGTTTTTGCAAGTATGCTTCGAGAAGGCCCACAGATTCCAGTTGTTGACGCAATTCGTTTGTCATCTGCATCTGTTCAGGGAATGCTTCCTGTATTTCCTCTACAGAGTTGAGTGATGCATCTGGTACTTTTGCCGTTGAATCTATGTGTATTTCTCGTACTGGTATTTTGTCTGTTAGTCGCAAAGATAGAGATGCATTCGGATCTGTCTGCATGCGCGACAAAAAATCTGCTGCATGATTTGCTTTTCCTGGTATGTGCGCTATGACAATGTTAAATGCTAAGACTCTGTCTAAGAAATTCCAAACGGATGGTGGTATTGACTTTGATTGAAAAAATTGTGTTAAGCTTCGATTATCTGTTAGAACGATTACAGGTTTTGTTGCACCCCAGATGAAGTGTGCAAAGTGGTCTAATGCGAAGTAGAGTGCTAAGAATTCCTTGTAGTAGATCGAAAATTTTAGTTGTGGTTCATTGAAAAGTCTTGATCCAAATGATACTGGTGCATAGGTTTTCGTTTTGCCTTTGTTTTCAGTGCTTATGTAGTCCTCTACCATGAGAACAAATCCAGTTCCGTGATAACTTGCATCACAAAGGATCACATATTGCAAATCAGGCTTTGGTAATCTTAGTGTTATCGTCGTTGCTTGCAAAAGATCGTGTTTAAGTACTTCAAGACCTTTGTGGTGTTCTGGTAGAATTCTAAAATCAGCATCCTTTTTCAAAAGTCTGTAAAAGGGTAGTAATTTTTCTCCTAGGCTTGGCATATAGTTCCTAAAGAACTGTACAAATCCGATAAGTCTCTTGACTTGTTTTACAGTTTGCGGCATTCATATATTACGTAGGAATTTTTATATTTTTACTTCTTCGGGGGAAACTCCCGCTGGTGTTACTATGTTGCCTAAGAATTTCATCTTTTCTGTGCCTATTTCGCATTTACTTGGTGATAATTTCAGTCCTGATTTTTGGATACAATCAAAGATTTTAGACAAGGTTGGTATTAGTTCATCAAAAGTGTGCACTGCACTTCCTATATCATCCATGAACTGAGTACACATATCCCCTGCTAAGCATGGATCTAGGTAATGACGGATGAAAGAACTAAATCCGGTTACTGATTTGTTCAGACCTTGAGCTAGACATTTATAGGCATAGGTGCGTGATGAAAAGTTAAATGCCAATAGTTGAACTGAGATGTCATCTGCCATTTGCACACAATGGTATGCTTGCGAGCAATCAAGCTTTGTAAACAGTTTCTTTCCGGCAAAATGATTTGAAGCATCTGTCATGTTTGAAATTGGGAAGTTGGCATTTAGATAGTCATTTTTGAGCGAATGGTTTATTCTTCTTAAGTCAATAAGCATTCTGAGTTTGCCTGATGGTTTTCGATGAGCAAACAGTGGACTACTGTACTTTGATTGTGATAACGTTGTTATTAAGCCAAAGTAGTGCATTATTGCTAGTTCAACCGTTAATTCCTTTCGTAGGTGGATTGGCGTTGGTGGACCTTGTGTATACAGGGGTCGTTGATGTTCCGGTGTGAGTTTAATTTGAAGTTCGGAATTATACCCGACATCAAATCGATGTTTGGCAAATACGTCTGAATATTTAACTAGTAAATTTTCTACTTCTGACCTTTGGGCGTTCGTGAGGATGGAATTTTCCCAATTGAACTGGCTTAGGAATGTCAATCTATCATGGTCATTCAATTTCGGTTCACAAAGTTCAAGTTTTTTAAAGTTGAGGATCTGATCGTAGATTTCTCTTTGAATCGGTGTAAGAAAATTAGGGTTTTCACACGTTTCCGGTGTCGGGAACCAAAATTTTTCATACTCTGGCTGAGGTTTGCTAATTTTCATGTTATCTGTTTCATTCACTTGAATAAATTGATTGATTTCATGCTCTAAATCCTCTGGATTATTCATTTTTGCGAGTGCTAATGTCTGTGAATCAATTGGGATGATGTTACGAGTGTCTGTTGATCTTAAAATCGTAAAATTTGCTATTTTACTTCTGTTTGGTAGGGTTATTACGTGATCTGTAACGTTGAGTGCTGCAATATATAGTTTGCTGTCTGCTGTTGTTTCACTAATTGATGACATAAGTGCAATATTGGAGTCATCTTCAAATTCAGGGATTGGTAAAACTGTTCCAATAGTGTTTTTGATATTTGTTTCTGTGAAACATTCTAACAGTACTGTTTTCTTCGGTTGAATAACGTATTTCTGTGACAGAAGTAGGGCAAATCGTAGCGTAGGTTTCTTGTGTCGTTTTGAGGTAGGTGACTTGATTTCGTTGACTTGGATTGTCAATTCTGGAAATTTAAGAAGGTCATATTTTGGACAAATTTCTATGTTGTGCTTTTTATAAAATCCGTTTCCAAGTATCATAGAATTTGCTTTTGGGAGCACTAAAAAATTTTCTGTAAAGGTTTGCGCTGCGATTCGGAAACATATTATAGCTTCTGTATCTATTGGTACTAGTTGTCCAGCTGCCATTCGTACTCGTTTCAACTTTGGTTCTTGGGTCTGGATTACTTTATATAATGTTTTGTCTTCTTTGAGTTCATTTAAGGTTTTTCTGGTAATGACGTTTGCACAGGCACCAGTGTCTACAAGTGCGCGCCTGAATGTTTGAGGTGCAAACTGAAGTTTGACGTAAGTTAAAATTTTATCAATTTCCGGGACGACTGCGTAAAGATCAAGAATTTCTTCTGGATCAATTTTTTCATTGGGGTCGATTTTCCGCTTCGTTTGATCAGGGTGTGGTTTTTTGGGTCGCTTTTTGTGAGACTTAGAGTTTCTTTTTCGTTTAGGAGTTTTGGCTGATTTTTCGTTGATGATTTTCGTTTCTTTACTTGACTCTTGACTCGGTGGCTTTAGAGGTTTTTTGGCTGCTGTTGGAATGGGAAAGATTGTCCCCTTCCTTGAGGTTTTTGTCGAAAGTGACATTGACTGGCTGTATGGTTAGGGTATCCGCAGTTCTCACAGAATACTGCAGTTGCTTGGATGACTGGCATGTATGGCATGGCTGGGTTTTGTATATCAACATTTTGTGCTTGTTGTTGGACTGACTGTTGTTGATAGTTATTTGGTTGCGGAAATTGGTAGTTCTGATTTGGGAAGAATGGTTGGAACTGTTGCTGTTGGTTTCCTCGGAAATTATTGTAAGGGTTTCGGTAACGTCCACCTCTTCCTCGATATCCAGATCTGAAATTGCTCTGGTGAGGGTATTGTCCTCTATAATTTTGATTCCCCTGGTTTGACTGGTTTCCTGGGAAGAATTCGGTTGAATGGTCAGGGTAGGGTTGGTAAGATTGTCTCTGCTGATAACCTCTGCCTCCTCCGCGAAATCCTCGTTGGAAACCACGGTTATAGTCATTTCGCGGTCGATTCTGCTGATGCTGCTGCTGTTGTTGTTGTTGTTGTTGTTGTTGTTGTTGTTTGGATGATTGTTGCGCTGAAGTCGATGCTTCTTGACGATTTCTATCGCTCATTTGCGTTCGAATTTCGTTGAATTGTTTTTCCATAGCTTCTTGTGTCGCGCTAAGTTAAGACAAGGCGTTTATCAGATTATCGGATACTGTTGCGCTAATTTCATTGAATCCATCCTCTGGATAATCTTCTTTTCGGCAAACTTCGCGTATGGTCATTTGTCTCCTTGTATATGTACACAATTCTTGTACTGTTTCTCCCGCAGGGCGATCCATTAGTTTGCCTCGAAGCCAATTGGGCATGGCTTTTATAAAAAGTCTGCGAACCTGTTCATCCCGATTTTCTCTGACTGCGTCTAATCTTTCGTCGCGTTGGGCAGTTTCTCGAGCATGTCGTGCTGCTTCGAGAGCTGCATCCGCTGCTCCTGCATCAATTGGGTTAGGAATTGCAATTTCAGGCGTTGGGTATGCTTTCTCCGCTTTTTTCTGTAACGTCACCAAGAAATTCTCCGGCGTATCCTTCTTTAAATCAAATTTAGTTTGTTCAAGCTTCAAGACATGAACTTCTTGAAGTTGAGGATTACTGAAATGGTCTCGCAATGCTGTCAGACTATTCGCTACGTTTTCTCTGGTTGCGGCTGGTAACGTTTGGTAAAACCGAAGTGCGTGATCTCGCAAATGGAGTTGAAGAAAGTTCGCTTGCTGGAGTGGTGCGACACCTGCAACTCCGATGAATCCGTTGAAGAGTTGTTCGAATTGGGCGAAATCTTCGGCATCCGTACCGCCGTATGGTGTGACTGAGATTTGAGCGTGCGCCATTTACAATTTTGATGATTTTCAGTCTGATTTATGCAATTAGTGAAACTTATTAGCACAAATTAGGATAGGTTTTCCGCAAAAGGTAATAAGTTACGAGCTATTTCGTTTAAGTACTCAATATGGTTATTGGCAAATGTTCAATAATCTTTAGGTGGGTTTAGGTAGTGGTACGATACTATTTTGACTTTAAGCATTAATTTATTGCATTTACGCTTCTCCAATTTTTGATGAATTCATAAATTTAATGATTGATTTCAAACTGGGTTGATTGAGCGCACACCAATTTTAAAACTTCCACCAATATATAGCACAAGAGTCTTAATGGTTTGACCTACAAGTTTGTAGAGACGAAAGTTCTCGAGTTTTTCCCCTGATACATCACTTGGATGAAGTTTCCTCAACTAGAAAATCCACAAAAACTGTAGGATGTAGTATAAGTTTTCACTTCTTTGGCTCGACACAGTTGCTGCGCTTGATCTATTGTTTTAGCACCCTTGCGATGTCGTCTGGATGTTCAGCTGGAGTGGGTGGAGATTGTCACTGTCGTTCACGAACTATCACCATATGACATACTGCTTGTTGGTCTCTATTTGCATGTTCTTTCTAGATGTTATTGTTGCAGTATCTTATCACGGACGCTTGGGCCCCGACAGCATGAATCTCTCCCTAATCTTCAGCTCACTAACAATTTAGCTTTTGGTTAGTTTTATTCAATTTCTCTTTCTGACTGTTTATTAGACTAACTATCGCATGCTTCTCAATTCTGAACACACTATTTACATTGTGTCAATAATAAGTTATTCAACTGCATGCTTGAGATTTTAACATTATACATTTTCTAATATGGCAATAATTTCATGGCTATCAATGACATCACTTTAGAGGTGTCACAATGTTTTAGCCCAGAATTCTTGTTTGATAAAAAACAGATAGTATGAAATTGTATGGGTATTTTTATTTAATTTTTTTGAGACGATTTGGAAAACTTTATTACTTTTTGCAAAATTTAGTTTTTTTTTCTGAAAAACCTGCCTTTCAATTTTTAAAAGGTAATCGTATCCATAAAAATACCGTCTACATTCATATGTACTTGCATACTCCGCTGGTATCTTTTTGTGCTTTCCCTTTTTGTCTACAGCCTTCGAAAAGGTCTGTGGGGGGTATATTTGACCAATATTTTGATTTTTTTGTTCACAAAATGACCTGCCAAGTTCGAGGTTTTAGTTTCAATGAATTCAATAGAGGTTTTAGTTTCAATGAATTCAATTCGCTTACAAGTCACAAAATGCTCAGCTTGGCCTCTTTATGAGTATGCCTTTGTATCTCCAAACTTTATGGAGTGTTTTTTGTCTAAATTTTTGCGAGTAATTCTCGGGCTTGAGCTGAAAATCTGTGCGAAACGAGTTTGCTCAGAAAAATCTGATGTGAAATAGATTTGAATGTTTTTGCAAAGAAAAGTGGTCAAGAAAAGTAGCTATTATATCTTCGTTATCTTAAATGTTTGATGACTTAGTTGCTTTCAAATCAGGCAATTTGTTAGAGGTTGACCGGCGGACGCGGTAAAAAAGTTGTTTGGCGAGGTAGGAAACCCCCCCCCTCCTTCAGGAAATCCTACATGCACCCTGAGATTCGTTTATGGGTGTGACTGCAACTTTCAAGTCTGTTTTAGTTTGTAGTTTTGTCTGAAAAACAAGATATTCATTGTGGTTTTTCTCATCACCGAGAGAATCTTGTGTTTACGGCTTCTCATTTATATTAACGAGTCAAAGGCCTGTCATGTAAAATTTTGATACAATTGTTGACCAATCTTTCTTTGAGGAGACTAAAAGCGCGCGGGGAAAATTCGCATCCCACGCCATTCCTTTCCAAGTCGCCTTTAGAGTTGTGTGGACAGAATACTTCTGGACGTGTAGTAGCACGCAGCAGTATATTTGCCCTCCTCTTCTGACGATTTTGTACGTTTTTTAAGGTTGTTTGGCGACAGACATTTTTTGCCGGGCGCCAGCTGTTTTTTTCCAGCGCCTGCTATTTATTCCCAAAATTTATTAAGAGTGCCTTGGGGGCTTATACTTTATCTAATACTTATAGCCCATCTTTCTATCATTAGAGGACCAAAAAATTTGAATTAACTGTTTGTTTCGCGTAGCGTGTTACAGTGTCGAGTCATAGTCTCTCTTTTTGCTCTTCTCATATTTTTCCCATCATCGGCAAGTCCTTCTGAGTCACGTATCCGAATCCCACCTGTGCAACTATTTCATTGTCATTACTCAGAGTCTCAGCCGAAACAACTGGTTTCTCGTCTCCTGCCGCGACTGTAGTCGCCTGGTCCATAGACGCTGCTTTGCTTCCGCCCTTTCGGTTCTTGGACGGGGATCTCGATTTTCTGGCACGGCTGCCTCCGCGTGACCTGGAACCGTGTTTGGACTCATCGCCTGGAGCGCGGCCAGATGCCCGTACTCTGGTAATTCTAGAAACATTGTTGATAACTTTAATTAATTTTAGGCCAAGAATTGAAATTTTGTTCTAAATATAAAATTGGATCTGTAAATCAATGCTTTGATTCTTTGTCGAATTAAATGAAATTGCAACTTTTTTGCGCGTGTGATAAATTTAATTTATGGGACCAAGAGTATTTAAATTGAAATTAGTTCTCTATCCAAAACACTTTTGGTGGTAATAATTTACCTGATCTGTCGCTCCATAGATTGGCTTGACATTACTGCTCTGTGTTGTGACTCGTCTCGGGGCGATGGGAGTTCTATGTCCATAGTCTTCGGAGTATTCACAGTACTTCCATTAATGTACTTTCCATTCACCGAATGGGCCCCACGACTGCTTCCTGGGGCGCCTGGATGAAGTTTGAACGAGGAGCTGCGCATCGCCACACCTCCGACATGTTGGGCTCGTGTCGCTGCAGTTCTGGGAGTCACAGGAACCGAAGCGAGTTCGGCCTCGTTGACTAGAGACCTCTCGAAGTTCAGAGGAAGGTTAAGTGACGGAGTTGATTCGGGCCTCATGTCAATTGCAAACTGGGATCCACGAACACTTTGGGAGGCGTAGGAGAGCCCATCACTTAGACTTTGCATACTTTTTCTAGTCATCAGTTTGTACATTGATTCGGCGTTATGCATACCTTGACCATCAAAGTTTCCATTTATGTCATTCAAAGATTGCAAGCTCTGCCGTTTATGTAGCGCTTTTGCTTCCTTTTTATCTTCGAATACTTGAACCGAGTAGTTGGTCTCGTGGTTTTCGGGATACACGACATTGACATGTGGTTTAACGTTGCGCGCTTCGGAATGTGATGCAATGGCCCGATTCGATGAGTGATGATGGGGCGAATTTGCTTCCAACTGTCTTCCCTGCATTGCATGTTGCAGTTGCTGCTGGCGCATTGCAACATTTGACGCTACATGATGAGCTGCTATGTTGGAGTTCTCTGAGTATCCGACCGTAAGTTCAATGTGAGGCCGGGGTTCCTGGATTTGCATCAACTGGGCTCTGCTTTCAGAATCACCAGACATTGTCTGTTGGTTGTACCTTTGCTGTTGATGTGGTGAATCGATGTTCTCATATATCGCCCAAACCTCTCGAATCTGTGCAGAGTCGACATTAGAAATGGGATCCATGCTTTGGGCACTGGTATCAGATGTGGGTTCAGTCTGACCGGCTTGCACTCCGAGAATCTGAGGTCTTTCATTGGCTCCAATTGGACCTTGATGGGTACCCGAGTATTCTTGACGAGCAGTACTTCCATCACGTACAGTTTCCATTGATACATGTTGGCTCAGATTTTCAGATACATTAGCGGCGAAAGCTTCTGAATTCAGTATTTGCTCATGGAGGTTTGTACTTTCACCAGTTGCAAAGCTCTTATCTGCTGGATTATTAGAAGTATTGTTTTTGTTATTAGAATCGACGATGTTGATGTCATTTCTTCGAGCGTTTGAGAGCTCCTTCGAAATAGCCGAATTTGAAGGTGAGTGAAGTTGAACTGAAGGTGTTGCTGAGGGTCCCAGTCGAGGAGTTTCCATCGCTTCGGTAAACCCATTCATCTCAGTTTCCTTGACTCGCTGTCTAGTTATGATGGACTTTTCATTCGGCGAGGATTTCGGTACATCAACCATAAATCGTTCCATCTTTTCACCACTAGAGATTTCGATACTGGCTCTGCGAGTATCTGGTTGAAGAATAGTTTCGGAAGCATCGAAGAACTCGGCCGAAACTGCAGCTTCGTCAACGATTGTGGCGTCCAGGCCAAATTGAGCTACTGCTGGACTTCGAACTGAAGCATCGGTAACCACTCCGCTAAACTGCTCTTCAAGTTCTTCAGCATGACTTGAATCAAAGACACCAGAATGAGATTGAGGTTGAATGAACTTCTGAGCTGATCTTTCTTGACCTGCAATATCTGGAACTCCAGAAATATTTTCAGTTTCAGCTTCTGCAGATGAAGTTTGATGGATGCTGCATGTTTTCTCTTTAGTTGACATGCCTGGAGATGTTGCTTGTAATTGCAGCTCTACCGAGTTATCGCCTGGTAACTGTTGCATTGAGTTTCCAGTCTTGCCTTTATGCCGAGGTGCAGCTATTTCATTTTGCTCGTTGTAAGAAACAACTTGGCTTGCGTTTTGAGGCATAGTTTGGCTGTGTTCACCGTATAGTTGGATATTTTCAGTTTCTTCTATGCGCTTTGGCAGTTCTTGTTCTTCTCTCACCGTTAGTTCTCCTGGGTTTTCGGCTGATTGCTCATTCATAGACACTTCTTGGCTGAAATACTGGCTGCCTGAAACAGGGTCGTGATACTGAGTTGCTTCTGGGTTTACTTCATAGTTGTAGTCATACGAGCTTCTTTGAGCTCCAAATTCTGCTTTGGCCGCGTGGGTTTCACGTGTCTCGCCACTGCTACAATTAGACTCAGTATGTGCGTCATGTTTCTGAACAGGAATAGATTGGTCCTCGTTTTTATTGAAGTCGTTTTGTTGATCAGCCGCTCTCTG